CATTGTGAACATCGCAACATGCCTCTCTTTCTTGGCTTGGTATTTTAATCGGATGCGGACAAAATGATGCAACTAGCATAATCAATTACTAGACTTTCTAGAACACTTCTATTTCGGTTATCTGAAATCTTCCATTTTTCAAGCTTCGTAGACTCCTCTAACAAAGACAGTGCATAAATATCAATCTAAAAATGAAATTCCTGAGTGCTCGTGTGAAATTAACTATAACAGGTGTTCCTTAACTCCCATAGTCCATCTTTATTGAAACTCTTTATTTAGATAAATTTGTCATTGTCTAGCTAGCGGAATTCAACTTTGTTGTAGTTTGCCTTTATCAGGCTAGCTAAATCTTATTCATAAAGCCGGGGCATTTAACCAATTACTCTAGAGGGACAACTCAAGCTTTATTGTATATATATTATAATCACATTTATCAGGCTAGCTGAATCTTATCCATAAAGTCGGATCGTTTAACCAATTTCTCTAGAGAGACAACTCAAGTTTTATTTGTATACATATATAATTACATTATGGGTATACGGATCTAATTTCTTAAGCTTGTCAAGAAGAACCTGTTATAGTCTAGGTGTTGTTGAAAGTAAAAAAATTTCATCTTTAGTGTTCAATTTCCAAGCAACTAAACTAAGCTAGATTCACCTACTCGACTATTCCATCTGTGAAGATCATAATCATCATTGAATGTCATCAACAAAAGTGTGTTCTAGTCAATTTTGTAACATCATACACAAAAGATGCCCCACGTTATCCGCTCCTAATCATACATGAATACCAAGCCTCTAATCGTCTCTTCATGCAGAAAGAAGGCTAGCTTGGCCTTTACAAGGGAAGGGTATGGTGTTCGAGTGTATCTTCTGGGGTAAAGTTAAGGGTTCTTGTTTTATTAGTTCTCAATCTTGTTACTTTTTCAAACATTCTAACTCTGATCATTTACAAAGTTTTTTAATTCAGTTGATATTCAAAGAATTTCAAGTTGCAAATTTAATTCAATGCTCACCATCTTTTAAAGTATCATAAATTCATTTAAATATCCTTACAAAAAGATGAAAAATGACAAAAAACAAATTCAAACAAGATGCTTCAAATGGAATAAAGCTCTATGATGGATGAAATGATCTCCTCCTAATTAGGATACCCCATTACTAATCAGACATGTGGGTGCTCGTCTAGTTCTTCAGGGTTATTATAATCTAATGCCCCACTGCCTCATTAAAAGACCATATCTCCAAACCTATCAAATTCTGTAAGTTGCTCTCCGATACGCACAATTCTTAGTAGTATGCCCCAAACTTCACATTTAGTTCTTTTTTCTAGGCACGAACGAAGTGACCTCAATTTACCTTTAGCATTTCTGTCATAAGATTCTCAGCGAGTTACCACCGTGATTCGTGATTAATGTATGTTAAGATGCAATATATATTATGTCATGTAATCTTTTTATTAATATTGGTGTTTTGTTAATGAATGTGAAGAAAATATGATTAAAATGCGAAAAAGTAAATACGATGTAGATGCAACGTAAATGCTATGCAAGGTGTTGATTCTGAAACGATTCCTTAGAATAATTTTTTATATTAGAAACGAAGTTCGATTACAAGGCTTAAACATATCACAGATAAATCTGAACTATCTTTCCTAATTGTTGGATGTGCCCTAGTAAATCTAGAATATTCAGAGCTTCTTCAGTCTTAGGCTCCAATCCTTTGCTTACAAGATCCGCTTCATGTGATAAGTCAACCAAGTACTGAGTCATTCTTTGATCATGTTGAAGGTAGCTAGTGAACATGTTATTTGACGGTCATTGATGTGTGTGTATCCAATCAGATCTGACTCAGTATGCACACTGCCTCCATTTGTTAGCGGGGACTACTCGAACCATCTCGAAACATCTGCATCGTTTTCTACTCTTTTGAATCCTTTGTTCCATATTACTAGCCTTCTATATGGACATCGTTCAAGGATCAACACCATGGGATGAATTATGCAATGCAAAATGGTAATAAAATTAAACAAAAGAACAAAATAAAACTGGTTATCATAAATGAATTAATCAGATATGATTTTTCGGTAAAACCTACCCACATTTTGGCTACCCAATCATGCTTTAATAGATCCTACCCAAACAGGATTTCTACCCACATGCTTTGTTTATAAAATTCCTAACCTCATGCCTTTTAGTTCGCATGCTTATCCAAAAAAATTAAACCTAACCGCATGATCTCTAGTTCACATACATTTATTCGGGAATAAAAATTACGCTACAAAAATTAAAAGGCTCAAACAACCTTTTCCTTTTGTACTCTCTTCACGGGATCCTATGATCTGGGTAATGCTTTATTTGGGTTCTAAGTTTACTACATGCTGGGTTCGGTTATAAAGTAATAGATTCTCGAATTGTCCTTGTCGGTGCCCTCTTGGGCTACCAAACCCTCAATCTTAATCCATCACAGGCTTTTAAGGATCGAGTTCAATTTGAGAGAACAAACCTCCTTATGTTCGTGCGGAGGTGAATACCATCGTGAGGACCAGAAGGCATGAGCTCCAGGAGCGATTCACTATCCCATGCGAAGGTGAAAACCACACGATGGAGTAGTTTCTGACTTCTATCTAAATTAGACAGAGCGGGGTTTTAGCTCATGTTATGCAAATGCAGCTGTGCAGTATGTGAGGAAAAGCGAAAGCAAAGCAAACAACATTGAATAGAAAACTCAAAACCTTGAACAATTATTTACTCTGAAAACATTAGCAAACAGATCAATACAACTATTTAGTGGATATTTAAATTAGAAACACTTATTTAAGCCAAACAATGGATCAAAAACCAAATTAGAGCGAACTTGTAAATTTTATTGCAAAGACAACTAATTAATTGACTAGGTATCGATTTAGGATGTTGTGGGGGTGCTAATCCTTCCCCACACGTAACCGACTCCCGAACTCAAATTTTTGTAACGCAGACCGCAAGTTTGTCGTTTTAATTAAAATTAAAATTTTATTAAAAGGACAAATTTATTTTGGGTGCCTAATCACACCCTAATCAAAGATTGGTGACGACTCCTCAAACTACGTTTTTATCACTAATCGGTCGTTCCAAGAATTATTTTCGAAACGAGACTCCCCTTTTCCCCACTGGTAAAAGACCGTTTCGATAGAATCTTTGGTAAAACGCAGACCATTTTTTTACGTTTATGGTTTTCAACCTACCTAACTTAATGGTTGGTGGCGACTCCAAAATCAAATCGTTTTCAAAATTGAATTTCATTGCCTTTCTCGAAATTAATTTTTTAAGTCTAACGGATCTTCTGGGAGAGGTTACGACACATGTATCAATTCATTATCAGACATATAATTGGTGTATAAAATATGTTATATAATACGTTGGCTTGCACTTGGCGTATAATGTCCAATTGTGTTTTCATATAGAATTATAATTAAGGGTCAATACAATATGTTTTAAAGTTTAGAAATCAATTCAGAATGACTGTTATAGTTTTGAAACATCATTTATAATTATCATTTTAATAAAAAACCGTCACGATTTCTTAATATATTATATAAGAATTAATTGTATAGAGGATTCTCAAACTATTATTCCTATTCTAGGTTCATCCTTAGATTTTTGAAATATCTTACTTCAATCTTTAAATTATTAGTATCATTTCAATCGAATCCAGCAATCACTTTCTTGATTTTTTTTCTTTAGATTATGTCAGCTACATGTGTCTCAATCGTACTCGAATTACTAGGTTCTGACATAAGGTCAGTACAACCAATATTGATGGTGTAGGGACGTTTTTGATGTTATGAATGAAACAAATTAAATTATAAATATTGTTTTCATAATAAATCTTTACGGTATTCAAATATAGATTAGAAGGTCAATAAATTGAGTATCGACAACTATAAAAAAGTGGGAAAAATTATTCAAACTATACTTTTATGCATTTAAATGAAAGCAACTCAAAACTTAAAAATAATGATAACAACATGTTGCTTCAAAATGTTTAGGACCTAACTTTTGTTTAATTTATTTTGTTTGTCAAAAATGTAGATGAAAATTCGGATCTAAAGCCCACTATTTACTCCCTAATCATGGGAAGTGCAAAAGTCCAAACAAGGTTAGGCTCATGAGAAATTTAATTCAATTAATATTCTGATTCTTTTAAAATTTTAAAATTAATTTAATTTCAACTATATATTAAATATAGTTAATATCAATTTAAGAAAAATAAATAAAAACTAATATGTTTGGTTTTTTAAAATAAACAAATATATTTTAAAATCAAGGATACAGTTTAATTTTTTTTTAAATTTCCATTAAATATATTTTTATTTTTTAAAAAATAGAGAAGAAATTATATTGTTTTTTTAACAAATATGCCGAATTCATTAACGGGAATTTAGTTAATTCGATTTTCCAAAGCATAACGAGAATTGCCTACCACATGGGAAAATAATCTGCCTTCAACTCTATTCCCGCCCACTGATCACGGCAAGAATTGACTCAGTCCAGCCATCCACCGGATATACTATAGTATTCCCTCTCCGGTTCGTGTCCCATTTTTTTCAAAAATATTTTTAATTACATATTATGCTTTATTTTAGTAAGATATCCAAATAAAATTTAAGAATTAAATCATAATATTGTGAAGAAAAAATAAATTAAAAATATTAATCTCGTAAGAGATTTTATAATATTTAATTTAAATTAATGAATAATTTATTTGTGGAATATAAATCCAAGATTTGTGGACACCTGTAAACAAAAGTATTTTGAGGCACGAGTAGGCACCATCAAAGAAATGAATTCTTCTTGCTTACGACAGAGAAAACATATAAAGCTTAACTGGGTCACCGTAGGGCTCCACATGACCACCATTACTGTCGCTAACATAAAGTAGGGTTCGTGTCAATTTCTAATACGAAAATCATCCGTGTCGTGTTGATTTTTCAAGTCCCCACTGTCAAGCCCAAACCAACTATAAAAACACCCCTTCCTCTTACATCGAACAAGCCACAAAGTTGCTAAAAACACAGCAAAATCTTAGGCTTTTTGTCGGTCCATTACATTCCCATGGCTTCCAAGAGATTAGCTGTCCTTGCTCTTGCATTGTTCGCCTTCAATTTGCAAGCCACCCTTGGTTAATTTTCAAAATCAGTTTTTTGCTCCCTAATTAAGTTAATTTTGTGTTATATTTGATGGGTTATAACTACTTATTTTGTTTTGTTTGTAGGGGAAATAACATGTGAACACCTTGACCAAGACACCTGCGCCTACGCCGTGGCATCCACGGGCAAGCGCTGTGTGCTAGAGAAGCACGTCAAGAGGAGCGGAGAAGAAGAATACACTTGCCGCACGTCTGAAATCGAAGCCGATAAGATCAGGAACTGGATCGAGATCGACCAGTGCGTTAAAGCCTGCGGCATCGACCGGAATTCATTTGGCATATCGTCAGATTCGCTCCTCGAGTCTCGCTTCACGGAAATGCTTTGCTCCCCTCAATGCTACAACAGCTGCCCCAACGTCGTCGACCTTTACTTCAACCTCGCCGCTGGAGAAGGTATGATATTAGTATTAATTGTATCAAACGTCCTTATGACCGGGATTTAAAATGTTTGTCTTCTTGGTAGGTGTTTTTCTTCCGAAACTATGCGAGGCACAACAAGGAAATGTGCGCAGAGGAATGTCAGAGATCCGAAGCTCGGGTTTGGTTGCACCGGGACCCGTTGGCGGTGTGGAGTTCATGGGAGTTGCCCCAGCATTTCCACCGTACTAAAACTATGATTGAACGGACATTTTCACGGAGTTGTAGTAGTATAAATAAATGAAAGTTGCACTAGCTAGGGTGGTTTCGCGAGCCGGGTTCAAGTGCTCGGACCAGCGTCATTTGGTTCGTGCATGCTGTAACCCATGAGCGTGGCGTGTTCAATCCAATAAGATGCTACTTTCTAATATAGATTTGCTTATTGTAATGGGTGTGACAAAAACATAATTATCAAGTTTATAAATATACTTATATTTACGTTATTACTTTCAACTTTCCATTTCTACGAATTATTATCAATACGATGATAATGAAAATATTTTATTACGAGTGAAATAATAAATAAATTTAAGAATCATATTTTCGTTGCCCAATTATCGTGCATAAAAACCCGTTCTTTCATTTAATTCTTATAAATTTAAGGGTAAAGTAAACAAATGGTCCCCGATTATATAATGTTATTTTGTTCAATCCCCTAACTATTAAAAGTTACAAAGTGTCCTCCGACTGTAGGGAGTTGCTTTGTTAAGTCCCTCGACCATTAAAAGTTACAAAAATAGTCACTCGACTATTTATTATGTTTCAAACTCGTCCTTTTTCTGTTAAAAAATTAACGACATTTTGAATTGGACGTTAACCTACTAACTAAAATATGATAAAATTCGATCTCATAATTTCAAACGACTATCATATCTCTGTCAATAAGTTAACGTCCAACTCATACCGCCGTTAATTTTTTACGGAAAAGAACGAGTTTGGAAAATAATGAATAGTCGAGTGACTATTTTTGTAACTTTTAATAGTTAAGGGACTCGACAAAACAATATCCTATAGTCGAGGGACCATTTGTGTATTTTACCCTATATTTAACAAAGCACTGTTATCTCTAAGCAGAAGACAATAGACACATAGGATATGTTATTTTGAAATATCCTTTGTTTCCAACAAGATCACATTATGGTATTAATTGATCATCCTAATAAGCTGTTGGTCGAATTTGGGGTTTAGAATGAAATTGAATTATTTTAGAATTTGGTGTTTAGAATGAAATTGAGATGTTTTGAAATTTTGAACATGAATGTACTATTTGAGAATATTTACTTTAATATACATTTGAGGTTTGTTTAACTGTTTATATCAATTTTGAATAACAATATGCATTGATTAAACATCCCAAATAGCAAAATGGAAAAAAAATCATAACAAAATGTAATATTGTTTCTATTATCATTTGCATCAATTTACATTCAAATGTTACCATATATAATGGTGTATGGTTTAACAACCATACCATATTGACTAAGCCATTATGGATATACAAAAAATGACCATATATCGTGGTATATGGTTTTGGTAACCATACCATATTGACTAAGTCACTATGCCATATACAAAAAATGACACTAAAGATGGCACTTTACATTCATAAACACAAAAAATGACACAAAAGATGATAGGTAACATCTATCAACACAAAAAATGGCAGTTAACATCCATCAACACATATTGAAGCTCTTGTCAACATCCATCAACATTCTTTGGTTTGAAACTAGAAATTGATTCTTGTGAATCCTACATCACTGTATTTTCAGAGGGAGAAGGTGATTGCAACATCCATCTAACATGATATGGAGTTGGTTGTTGTTGAGGTGGTGGGATTTGTCCTCCTGCAGCCCTTTCAATCTTCTTCCTTTGATCAGATGTTGATATAGACTTGGTTGTTGTTAAGGTGGTGGGAAGTGGCACTTGTTGCAGAAGGCCTCCTAAACTGTAAATACCAATATGTGATAGTTGTTAGTTAAAGTAAATAATAGAGATTGTGGAGAATTAAATACTGACTGGTAATTTTGGTACTCTGGCAGCAATGAAAGATGAAGCAGATGAAGATAATGGAAACCCTGGAGGTGGACCAATTGAGGTTGATGGATGTGTTGCTGCTTAAGGAAGTGGTATGTTAAGCCTAGAATTACCTCTGACCTGACCTCTATATGTCCTTATATTGTGGTCTGCTTTACCACATTTCTTGCACTTAATTTCTAGGGTCATTTACCCCATACTAGGACCACTTTGTTGTTCATCAGCAACATTTTTCCTTTGTTTTTAGGCCTACCAGGTGACCTCCTCTAAATTGGAGGAAGTATGGGCTCCATTGATGGGACTGGTTCACACTGTTGACTCCTCGGATAGGGTAGATAAAGTTAGAATACAACTGGATTTGAGTTGACCTATGGTAGCGATTGTTAACATAGTTCTCTGGTCTCTCTTAAATCAATAAAGTCACTGAGACAGTATGTGCACATGGGATCCCTGTTGAGAAACATAAATATCCAACACCATCAAACATCATGTACACAATATGACCCTAACATAAATATCAAATACCATTAAAAGCCAATAAAAAGACATAAATTGTAAGAAACCAACTAAACAACAACTCAATTCTAGATCCATTCCAGTACATCAAGTAAATTCTAACATAACAACTATACATCCAATAAACAAACATAATATCCAATAATATTGAATTCATAACAACTAAATAGAAAATAAATAACAAATAAACAACAACTAAAATAGCAACTAAACATCCAATAAATAGACATAATATCCAATAATATTGAATTCACAACAACCAAATAGCAAATAAATATCAACTAAAATAACAACTAAACATCCAATAAATAGACATAATATACAATAATATTGAATTGAATTCACACCAACTAAATAACAAATAAATAGCAACTAAAATAGCAATTAAACATCCAAAAATAGACATAATATCTAATAATATTGAACTCACAACAACTAAATAACAAATAAACAACAAATAAACAACAACTAAAATAACAAATAAACAACAAATAAACAGCAAGTAATTAAAGTCTAAAAAGCATAAAGTAATAATTGTAAGACCCCATTTCCTACAAGAACAGTCTCTAACTTCTAGATCCACAACATGTTGGTCAGATGGACCAATTGCAACTTCATATCTTAGACCCCCAGCATATGATGGCCAACACCTAATAGCTTTCCCAATTAATGTGTCCACCTTCTTTTGAATTTTAGGACACAGTAAACCAGAAGACTTCTGAATATCTTCTCCATTTTTAGAAATTATATGCATCATCTTCGTATGAATAATCTCCATCATGGTCAAGATGGGCTTGTCCCTTGCCTTCAGAATCATCTTGTAATATAAAAGGGGCAAAAGACATTAGTAAGATCAAAATAACATTGAATTTACAGTAAATAAAATTTGAAATTATATGTACCTTATTGAAACATTCTGAAAAGTTGTTTAGTAAGAGGTCACATTTTGACCTTGTGGAAAAATGAGATTTAGACCACATGGTAGCATCCTTTGACTTTAAATAGTTACAAGCATCCTCTGACATCCCTCTTATTTCTGACATGGCTCTATCAAAATCCCTCACAGTAGTTGCCCTTGCAGCTTTCCACAAAGAATCTTTCAATGCTTTTCCTTTATAGCCCTCCACATTCTTAAAATTTGAGTATAAATGCCTAACACAAGTTCTGTGTTCAGCATTAGGATACAATTCCAGAATTGAGTTAACAAGTCCCTGCCACATTTCAAAACTAGTACAACCAATAAATATCAAGAGCCATAAATAGCAAATAAACAACAAGCACAATCAATAAATAGAAAATAAATGATAAGAGCAACGTAAGGAGGAGTGGCAACAATGGGAATTGGGGACTGGTAGTTTTTTTGGCTAAGAAAGTTAATTCATGAGTGCCATTTGATCTTCATGTTTTAGATTTTTCACGTTATTGTTAGAGGAACATTATTGAGGCACTGATGATGATTTGTATAGAGATATTGTTTGCCTCTACCTGTGAGCCAGATGCTTTGCAGGTTAATCTGATTTTCAATTTTTTCATCATATGAAAATGTATACGACACTGCTTGCATTGCAAGGTGTGGCATATCAACCTCGTTTTCTTTTAGAAATCAATTTCAGCTTAGACTTGTGCAACATATTTTGTTGGAAAAGTGATGTAAACCTTCTTTTTATAGCTGGTTTTGAATACTAAAAAATATGGCTTATTCCTAAAAAAACAAATAAATGATAAACTTTTACCTTTTGTTTATCAGACATAAATGTGACATGATGAGAGTTGACTATGTCCAAGTCTTCTCCCAATAATTACAGGAAGCATTTCCAACTATCACGATTTTCAGATTCCACAGCTATCACTGCTGTGAGATAAATGCAATCATTTGCATCAATTCTCACAGCAGCCAATATGTAAACCTGGTAATAACCCTTCAGAAAACATCCATCAAGAGAAATCAAGGGTCTATAGTGATTCTTAAACCCTAGTTTACAACCCTACAAACACATGTACAACCTAACGAAGAGTCTGTTGTCTAACTTGCATATTGTGGTTGTACAAGGATTTGAGTGTCTCACTTCTCCTAGGTATTCATATATTTTGCTATATTGTTCTGTAAAACAACCTAAGACATTTTCTATAGTCAATTTCCTAGCCCTAGAACATTTTGCTAAACACAAATAAGTTCTATAATCTTCTCTAGTATCTTGCTACAGTGAGACAATTGAATACTTGAGGTAAGTCTTAAATTTTGCAAAAAACGTTTCGGCAATCCACTTGGCAGATATCAACCTTTGGTTTCTTATGCCTCTTTGACAGTTATGTTCATCATTAATTGTCTTAATATGCCATGTGTCATCATTAGGATCCTTAGGGTTCAACTTAGATGCCCATAATACCCAAGAACAACTCTCTTTACTACACACAACCTGCACTCTTCGGTTATCATTCTTCTTAAATGACATGCTAAACCTTTCAACCCTTCCATACTGCCTAATTGCATCTCTTAAGATTTCTTTAGTAGCAAATATAAGGTTTTTATTTAAACTAGGGCATGCCATATCTTTCTCAGTATTAAACTCAAGAAATCTTTATTTTTTTACTATGATTAGTGCTATCATAAGAAAAAGCACTATGCAATGACTCTGCATCATTATCACCATCACAAGAAACACAAACTAGTGCAGTATGATTAGGCATAAATCCTAGGTTCTCTTGTACACTACTAGTCACAAATATTATATCATCTTCTTCAACTGTATCATACACATCATTTTCACTATCCACAAAGTCAGATTCATACCTTTCATGCTCAAATGGCCAATAATT